TTCGTGCACCACAGGGTTCTGCTGTTCTCTGAGCTGCTGGGTTTATGGTTCTGTGCGCCGTCTGTCGGGATTTTTGCTGCGTTTTTCTGGCAGTTTAGCTGGTAGCCCTTTCGCTGTGTCCTCATCACACCGCTGAGCGCGTTAATCCCACGAGGAATCCCTTCTCTGATCTCCTTGCTGTGTCTCAGAGCCGAGGTTTTTACCCTGTCAAAACAACCCGTGTGTCTGTGATCAGTTCCAAATGCTGTTCACTTTCAAGATCTTGGACATACAAATCGCATTTATTCACATCTGTCACCCCCAAACTCGTACTGCTATTTAAAAACAACAGCTCTTTTTCTATTTTAGCCACTCTGTCTTAAAAGAAGCAGCTTAATAATGTGTTTCTCATCAGAAAGCATTTTAAAGAACTTTAGGAGTTATCAGTGACTCAAGTAAGCCACGTGTAAAGTGGCATGTATATTTAATATTTTGAAGCAACATATAGTTAAATGTAGTTATAGTTTACATATAGCAAATATAATTGTAGAGACTTTCCATGGAGCTTATGCTGCAGCTGCTTGCTCTGTACTTGACACAATTCTACTCATGGTCACAAATACAGAAACACCTGCAATTTACACTTTCATCTGTAGGATTGATGATAAACAATTCCAAATGCTGTAGGATTGGCTTTTTTTGCTGACAGTTTTCCCAAAACCTTACACCAACATGTCACTGCCTTCTCCCTGCTTGTTGCTTTGCTCTGATGGTTTTTCATTTGTGTATCCAAGTTGCTGATTCATTGTTTGGAATTTTTCAGCCTCTGGTGTGCAGTTCTCAAACTCTACAAAAATGTACTAATGAAAATTTTTATGTCTATTTTTGTATCTTTCTCTTTTGCCCCTATTAGGCTATTGAGGAGGAAGGAGGGAATCCTGATGAAATTCCAGTGGTTTCAGAAAATATCATGAAGAAAACTCCAAAAAGAAGCAACAAAGGTAGTTAGAGAGACTTTTTATTACTAAATTTGGTTTATATGAAATGTGAGTTTGGGAGATGAGACTCGACTGTTTTGCCAGCTAATTAGTTTGATTTTTATCATTACCTCTGATTTGGAGTGATGGTGCAATTGCTAAAATGCAGGCTAAAATGTGAAATCTTGAATGTCACAACTCTGGGTGAAAGAGATCTTTTAAATCATATTCATTTCCAAGTCTCAGAAAAACACCTGATGTCTAATACAGCAACTTTAATGTGGGGATGGAAATAGATGAAATATTCCTCTTGGCTCTAAAATCCTTCTCACTTTTCAGTTGTAATGTGCTTGTAGTTTTTGAGGAAAATCAAATTCATGAAAGGTCAAACAGCTGCTTAGCTCTGAGTTTGAGGAGTTGGTGCTGAAGCTGGTGTAGTCTTTTTAGTGATTTCAGTAATTAATTAATTGAGATAATTCCCATCCAACTGGTGGGCAGAGCACTGCAGTGAAACCCACAGGTAAAGTGGGGTTATTTCAGTATTTTGTGTTGTGTTTTTGAGGAAAATCAAATTCATAAAAGGTCAAACAGCTGCTCTGAATTTGAGGAGTTGCTCCTTGGTGCTGAGGCTGGTGTAGCGTTTTCAGTAATTCATTAATTGGGATAATTCCCATCCATCTGGTGGGCAGAGCACTGGAATGAAACCCCCAGCTAAGGTGGGGTTATTTCAGTACTTTATGCTGTGTTTTGTTTGGTTGGTTTATTTTTCTTCTCATAAATGTTGAGGTAATAAATTGCTGCAATCTGAGCTGAGCCCAATGTTCTGGGGAGGTCACAGAGCTTGAGCTGCTGCCAGCTGCTGGGCTGTGACTTGTTTGTCACTTACTGGGTGCTCACAAACAGGGCAAAACCTGAAGGAAACACCAACTCTGATAAAAAAGCAAAGCTGGAGGGGTACAATTATAATTTCTGCTGTGATTTTAATGCTGCTGATGTTGTTAGGACGTCGAGCAGATGAAGAAGGAGTGGAGGACAACGGCCTGGAGGAGGATTCTGGAGATGGACAGGTACAGGGGCTGCCTCTGGAGGGGGTGATGGTGGCAGGTGGCTCTCAAGCCACCCTGACTGTGACAATGTGCTTTTTTTCTTTTCACAGGACGATATTGAAGCAAGTTTGGACACCTTGCAGGACATTGACATGATGGATATCAGTGTGTTAGATGAAGCTGAGATAGATAATGGCAATGCAGTAGATTGTGGAGATGATTACAGTGCCCATAACATTCTTGACTCACTGTCTGATAGCAAAGAAAATGCAGATGCAGAAGTGAAAGAATTTCCAGATCAGCCTACAGAATTTGTTGTAGGTAACTTGGAGGCATCCCCACAATTTTCAGAAATTAAAGAAGAATCAAGAGAAATACCAATAGTGATGGTATGCATCTCTTTTGTGTGTGGAATCAGGGTTTTCTTTTTTTAATTTATTTATTTCTGGGTTAAATAGGAAAATGCTAAAGCTAAAAGAGTACTTGGGAAAAGAGCTAAAGAGTACTTGGGAAAATTTGGAGCTGTCTGGTTCTTAATGGTCGTTGCTTTTCTTCTAACATTTTTGTGGAAATGCATGTCTTAATTTTTAAAATACCTAAATGTTGTTTGTACATATGTGATTGTATTAATAGCAGTTTACAGAGCATTTGTTTTTTAATCATGCTTTGAACTCTGCTTCACCCTATTAATCATAATGTATATATTATTCCTATTGTCATATTTTTATTTTAGAGAACATGTGAGGCATACAAATAGTGTAGCTTAATTTCTTCTCAACTCAACAGCACCATCCAGGAAATTATATTCAATGTTATTTTTCTGCTAAGATTGGGTCTTGCAGTTATTCAGTTGCTGAAAATGTTATTATGTTGACTTTCTGTGTTTATCTGGCTGTTGACCCTGGGCTAGAGGATAATCCCTATCCCCTTGAGATAAATCAAGTGCTTTATCTCCTGAAATGTACAGCAGCATTTAAAAAAAGTTCTTTCTGCCCCATTTAATGGGGGAGTATTGCTCTTTGTTGTGTGTCCACATTGACTGGGAGATTCTAAATTTATATATTTTTTTTCTAAAGCTGCACAAATAAGCTTGGCCCCCTATCCCCAGGCATATCCTTGTCCTACACAAATCAAATGGAAATACTCAGAAAAAAGGGGGTTATTTTTGAGTGAGTAAATGTCTTGAGGCCAGGTTGGCTCCCATGATCTGCTTTCATCAGTAAAGGAAATAATTACCAAGTCCTGTAGGTTTTTTGGCTCTGTTGTTGCTGTAAATGACAGGGATAAAAATCAGATATTTTGCTGTTGGAATCCCTATACTTGAAAGATTTTTGTGAGCTTACCATCATGGTTAAGAAATAATGAGAGATTTTATTCAGTTAGTGGTGGTTATCACTCAGTTTTTACCATTATTGGTTATTTTGGGTGCTGGGTAACAGCTGTCAGTGCAAATACAAATCTTCATTTTCTCACTCAGGTTTCACTCACAATATTCCTTTATAAATAACAAGGTGTCTCCTGTTTATTTTTTAAAGGTAGAGTTTGAAGATGTTGGGAACAGTTTAGATGCTTCTTCATCAGAATTAACCATAATAAAGGTAAATGGTAACCAGTTTTTCTTTGCAAACAAAAAAAAAGCATAAAATAATGCACTATATAATACTGTGTGTGTATAGTGGGTGCATTCTTCCTCTGCAAAGAATGGGAATTAATGCCTTGGGATTTATTCATAGAAACAAAGATTTCTTTATCAGATCATATATGTATATAAACATGTATATACATATATAAAAATTTATTTATGATGTTTGTATCACACTGAGTTTGATGGTAGATTGGATTCCTTTTATCTGCTGTAAATACCAGCTCAGTGCCTTCCATTGTGTTTAACTTCCATTAAAAATGTACATATCCCAGGGTGAGAAGAAAGCTGCAACTGTCTATTCCTGAAATGCTGCCCTTGTTTCCAGATCATTCCTGGTAGGTTAAGAGCACCAGCCCCAGGTGAAGCTGGTGTTTCTGTTGATGCTGTTTTCAGAAAGGAGATTTCAAAAAACACAGGGTAGAGAAGGGTAACATGAAGATAATCTTTCCTCTGTGCTGCTTGCATTTATTGATTTATTTATCCATGTGAATGTGTAACGTGTGTTCAACAGGTGGCTGAATTTGAGAGGTTTTAAAGTTTTCACAGACTTCATAAAGTTTGAGGATGTTAAAAACTCATCTTAAATTTTTTTTTCTGAGAATTTATTTGAATTTCAATGTTTTCAAAGCTGAAATAGGCTAAATTATAGTAGTGCTTTCACTAAATACTCTCCTGTACAAGGTGGATAAAAAAAGTCATTCAGAATAGCATCCTGCTTATGAAATAGTGATATTTCTCCTTTTCAAAATCTTTTTCACTACAGGAACTTGAAGAGTTACCTTTGGAGCCAGGTACTGTTTGCTTTTGTTTGGTTACTTTGATTTATTTTTTTTTTTTAAATGAAAAAAAAATTCCTGGGTATTTAAACAGTTTCATTCTTCATTTAGGCTTTTTGCGTCCCTGTTTGGTTTTTTTTGGTTCTTTTTTTTTAATGCATTACTGTAGTGTACGTTATTATGGTGGAAAATCCAGGTCATGCAGGGTCATAGAGATTGGAAACCCAGTCATATCACCAGATCTGTGAATAACCACCCTTGGAAAACTTGTTTAATGCCATGAAATGGTTCCCTAGAGCTGTTACTGCAGAGTGAAGTTAAGGAACGAGCCTTAAAGATGTAAAGGTTCTGAAAACAGATCTTGTGATATCACACTGTACAGTGGTTCTGTGAATAAATATAAATACAGGAGTGTAGGCAGCGCAAAGCTCTGGTGCAGAACAGAAATTCAGGAGTGACTGGACTTCAGAAGAAGGAGCACGCTGCCATCAGGAATTTGCTACAGATCCCACTCGCTGTCTGGACTGCAAACACACTCAGAACCATCAGAAGATGCCCAGTTCTCATGTTGGACTGTCTCTGCTAAAAGAACTCAACAGAAATTTGGAAAAATTGAACTCTCAGTGCCTTGATACGTTCAGTTAAGCATCTCGGACTCTGGAAGCTAACTAGAGAAGAAACAGAGCTGAACGATTTGCTGAAGAATATGAAGGCTGAGCCTGAAGTTTTTTGTTAAATCTGTGGGGGCATTTTTCTTGGCTGTTGAGGTGCTAGGGCTGATTTGGCAGGGTGTGAGAGAGCAGTGAGCGTGGTAGGTGTAACACTGTGTACACTAGGGTTTTCCAATCTCTGTGTAGCTTAGCAGTTCTCTTGGTGTTAGTGTGGCAGCCATGCCAGTTCCACATTTGTGATTTGCTGTATTTCCCTGGTGATTAAATCTTGTGCCATTCTATTCCTGTTAAATCCGTAGAAAATGAGAAAATACTCGACATTTTGGGGGAAACTTGTAAATCTGAGCTACTTAACGAAGAACAACCTCCCGAAGCGGAGCGGCCGCGTGCGCAGGAAGCCAGTAACGCGGGGCCAGGCAAGAGGCTGGCTGAGGAAGAGGACGCTCTCGCTGCCGCTCAGCTGGAGGAAGATGCTTTAGCTTTGGACAGCAAATCGGCCCAAGCTTTGGCAAGGAAGGAAGCAAAGCGTTTAGTGGTAGCAAAAGGGGAGACAAGTGAACAGAGCCCCGAGGAAGAGGCCCCGGACTCTGAAGGTGTAGTGGTAGAGACCCTAAGCGATCAGAGTAGCAAACGCTCCCAAGGCCTGGAAGCCTCTAGTGGGGAGGCAGCGGAGAAAGGCGCAGGTGCCGAAGCCAGAGCTAGCAAAGAAGATGGCAAGAGAGCAGAAGACAAAGCTAATTCTGAGGAATCTTCCCCTGCCACTAAAGAGTCCTCAGCCAGTGAGGGCGGTGATCAGAAAAAGAGGTTTGTTTTTTCTCCGTTCTAGACCAGATGCTATCTTTTATCATTGGTCCTTAAGTGATGCGAATAAGCTGTTTCCTTCAATTGGCCTCCGAGACTGATGAAATTGTAGCCTATTCCTAAAGGTCTCTTTTATTTCTCCATGTGTAGATATATTTTTTTTTTTCCTAAAGAACAGTGGGTTTGATTTCTTGTCCTTCCTCAACCTTCAAAGGTTGTTTTCCCCAAATTACTCTTATTTCTGTCATCTAATGTGCTGGTTTGGCCAGGAAGAAATGGGAAACAGAATTGTCCGTTTAGGGGTACAAATCCCTATTTCCTGTCACTCTTCTAGAAAATTGCCAATAATAGTGTTTATTTTGGAACTAATTTACTGGTAGGTATCCAATTTTAGTTGTGCTGTCTAGAATTAATGGTCTTTTTGCATATGATCTCTTGAATAATGTGGTGTTTTGTCTTTAGCCCTGTTGAAGACAAAGATACAAAGGCAGTCACAAAAGATGAGAAAGGTAGGTGCATGTTTGGGTTTTTTTTGGGTTTTTTATTTTCAAAGGACCTGGAGTAAAAAAGAGGACTGTTAATTCAATGACCCCCTCAGTGCAGTTGTAACAGAGCCCTTCAAAATATAACTAAAATATCAGTTCTTTGTAACTTCTGTAACATTATTAACAAACAGAGTTGAGGTTTGTTTTAAATAAGTATTTTTTTGTGATTTAACATTTGATACTTTGTAATTCTCCTTAAAGTAATTGAAGTGCAGGAAGAAAATCTGTAGCTACAAACAGAGGTTTTTTTTTTTCAGAGTTTTCAAATGTACATTTACTATGGAGAGTTTTATGAAGGAAAAATGTGGAGGAGTTAGGGTTCTGAATTTTGTTCTCCTGCATTTGTGTTTCATGTGGTTTTTTATGTTTTTTGTGCCTCAGGCCGTGTGGGGAGTGGTTCTGGCAGAAATTTGTGGGTTAGTGGACTTTCCTCCTCTACTAGAGCTACAGATTTGAAGAACCTTTTCAGCAAGTATGGAAAGGTATGTAGGGGATATGTGAATTAACAAACCACAAAGTGGTAGTAATTTTTATTCAATTTTATTTTGTTTTTTCCAATCCCACTCACCCTTCTCTGTGTATATCTGCCTTAAGCTCCTGACCTGCTCAGCAACTTGAAGATGAATTATTGAAGGGAGCATTGATTGAACTAAATGGCTTTTAGAAGTCCTTTCCCATCCAAATCTTTCTAAGAAATGATCATTAAGTTAGAATTTATTTCTTGACAGACCTGCAAACGCAGAATATTTTGGTTTTTCCCACAGGTGGTTGGTGCAAAAGTGGTGACAAATGCTCGCAGCCCTGGCGCTCGCTGCTATGGCTTTGTGACAATGTCAACTTCTGAGGAGGCCACCAAGTGCATTAATCACCTCCACAGAACTGAGCTGCATGGTAAAATGATTTCTGTGGAAAAGGTGAGTGGCAGCTGTTTCATGACAATGTAATTGAAATAAAAGCATGCAGTTTTAATCTCTGTCTCTGACTATGGAATTCTTTCTGGCTGAATTTCTAGGCAAAAAATGAACCAGCAGGAAAAAAACCTTCTGACAAAAAGGAAGGTGAAACAAGGAAGGAGAAAGACAGGCACCATTCTGCAGAGTCCAAATCTGAGAAGTAAAGTGTTGTTTTGTGTTTTATGATACTTAAAGACCACTTATTTCAAATATAACCAAATAAATCTTGATTTAATGTTCTATCCTGCATTTGAAATAGGAATAATGCTTCAAAAATTGATGTTTTACAGTAGTAAGGGCATCTTAACTGGTTCTCTGTTCAGAAATAAAAAGCTCTTTAGTGTTAGTATAAAAACTTGTTAGCTACATAAGGAGATGCTAAATCAAATTATTTATAGATAAACCATTATTTTTACCAGTTGTTTGTCCTCTGATCTTGCTCTGTCTTGGACTCTACTTTTAATTGACAAATATTTCTAGGATTTAGTAAATCTTTCTGGTGGACTGTGTGGTTAGTGAGTGGTACTTCCAACATTGGTTTTCCAAGTGGTTTGTTGCTTTTGAAAGAGGCATTTTGCTTTCCTGCTTTTTGTAGATCTGCTGGTATTAAGAAGGAGGAGAAGATGGACAAAAAAGATGATGCTAAGAAATCAGAAAAAGATGAAAAAGAAGGAAAAGAAAAGGATGAACAAAAGACTGGATCTTCTGATAGATCCAGGGCAAGCAAATCAGGTGATGCTGGCTGTCTTTCAGGAATGTTTTCAAGGATACTTGTGGATTATTAGATGTGATTGATAATTCAGTAAAAAGGAGCTTACGTAGTAAAACTGACACAAGCATCAGAAAACACCTTGAAAATTTTGACTTCAATTTCTAATGACTTAAAACAGTTTCCATAATTCTTATGGAATTGTCTAAACTGGGTTTAGACCTGACACTGTATGTGGCTTGTGTTCCTTTTTGGGCTTTTTTTTTAAACTGGCAAAGAATGTATTTTGTGGACAGAAGAATTAAATTTAATTTGTGTTCTTTTAGCTGTCATCCCTGCCAGAAAATACTGCTGTATTTTTTGATAATTTTGATAATTTTACTGCTCCCATCCTCATGTTGGCCAAATCATTTAAATCATGAATAAGTTCCATAAGTTATTAAAAACCTCATTAAAATAACTTTTTAGTATCCTCACAGTTTTGAATCTTGCAAGAATTGTTGAATGTCTTTTGTACCATTTATTTTTGGCTCTGTTTTTTGTTTTGTAGCAAGCAGAGGAACAGAGAGGACAGTGGTAATGGATAAATCTAAAGGAGAGCCAGTTATTAGTGTGAAAACCTCTGCATCAAAAGAGAGGGTAAGGCCAACTTCCAGAGAAGCTTTTGTGTAAAAATAGGTGCCAAATAGATTTATGTGCTCAGAGATGAAGGGGTACAATTTGGTACAATTACACTTTTGGAAAAGCATCAGGGTTTTAATGATGTGGCAGAGGGGAAATGCTTCTGTTTCACCTTTTTTATACTTTTACCTAGTGCAAGAAGTAGAGTTGCAGTATGGAAATGGTTTTAGGATGATGTGTTTCCCTGAGTATGGGATGTTATTGTGCAAGTCAGGTTGTGTTCCTCTAGTATTTATTTGTAATATTTGAAGTTCTGCTCAAATTGGGGATACTTTCCCCTGGAATTCCACTGTTGTTTTTTACCTCTGGGGAAGGCATGGCAGCCTGTTTTGTTCAGGTTGGCACAGTGTAGGTGTTTCCTAGGAAATGCACCATGTTCAGCTCATGTTCATGCCTTGTTGTGATTCATCTCAGAGCACCAAGAGCCAGGACCGCAAATCAGAGAGCAAGGAAAAGCAGGATATTTTATCCTTTGATAAAATCAAGGAGCAGCGAGAACGGGAACGGCAGAGGCAGAGGGAGAGAGAAATCAGGGAGACAGAGAGGCGCCGGTGAGTCCCCAGCACCTCTGAATTTTAAATGACATTTTTTACCTCTTACCTGTACCTTTAACTCCCTTACCTTTCTGTGGTTTTGTTCAAAGCAGTGCTGTGCTGCTCCAACAGTGATATCTCAGATTGATTTCATTCTTATTACTATCTCAGATTGATTTCATACTGATTACTGCTAGAACAGACATAATGCCAAGTGATGGAGGATTTTACTGCTGAAATCAGTGTTCTCATCAGACTTCCATGGATGCTTTCAGGCTTTGTCTTCCACTTGACTGGATTTGAATTTCCTTGATTTTTTTTTCCCCAGAAGCTTTTAAATATTTGTTGTACATCAGGTTTCTGTCTTAGGACTTGCTGTGCTCTCTGAAAGCTTTTTCAGACCTGACTATCTACTTAAGTAGATATCTTAAGTAGATACTTACTTGGTTTTTTTGCCCCAGAAGCTTTTAAATATTTGTTGTACATCAGATTTCTGTCTTAGGACTTGCTGTACTCTCTGCAAGCTTTTTCAGACCTGACTATCTTCTTAAGTAGATACTTAAGATAGGTGCTTTCAGGCTTTGTCTTCCACTTGACTGGATTTGAATTTCCTTGATTTTTCCCCAGAAGCTTGTAAATACTTTTTGTACATCAGATTTCTGTCTTAGGACTTGCTGTACTCTCTGAAAGCTTTTTCAGACCTGACTNGTCTGTCTGTCTGTCTGTCTGTTCAGCGATGCCCTGGCAGGGAGCTCAGTCTGTCTGTCTGTGCGCTCAGCGCTGCCCTGCTGTCGTTGCAGGCGCAGAGTTTTCTCTGGGAGCCTCTGTCTGTGTGTCTGTCAGTCTGTCTGTCAGTCTGTGTGTATGTCTGTCCACTCAGTGCTGCCCCCGCTGTTGTTGCAGGCGCAGAGCTTTCTCTGGGAGCCTCTGTCTGTGTGTCTGTCTGTCTGTGTGTCTGTCTGTCTGTGTGTCTGTGTGTCTGTCCATTCAGCATGCCCCTGCTCTCGTTGCAGGCGCAGAGCTTTCTCCGGGAACCTCTGTGTGTCTGTCAGTCTGTCTGTGTGTCAGTCAGTCTGTCTGTGTGTCTGTCTGTCCGCTCAGTGCTGCCCTGCTCTCGTTGCAGGCGCGGAGCTTTCTCCGGGAACCTCTGTGTGTCTGTCAGTCTGTCTGTCAGTCTGTCTGTCAGTCTGTCTGTCAGTCTGTCTGTCAGTCTGTCTGTCNTATCTACTATTAGTATCTAAGAGTAGATAGTAGTACTATCTACTATTAGTATCTAAGAGTAGATACTATGTTACTCATGCAGAATTTTTCACCTTTGCATCTGGAGTTTTTATGGAGTTTTTTATTTTCCCCTAAGCTGTTACTTAATTGGCAAGAAGGGGGAGAACATAGAAACTTCTTAAAAAAAAAAAGGCAAAACCAAACAAGAAGCACAACCAAAACCAAAGAAGCAGTAAAGCTTGGACTGAAGAATCTCAGTTAAAAATGAAATATCTCTTTTAAATCAGAGAGAGAGAGAGGCGGGACCGGGAGCAGCGCCTGGCAGCCATCCACGAGCGCGACGAGAGACAGAGGCTGCAGAGGGAGCGCGAGCGGCTGGAATTCCAACGGCAGCGCCTGGACAGAGAGCGCCTGGAGAGGGAGAGGCTGGAGAGGGAGAGGATGCACATCGAGCAGGAGAGGAGGCGCGAGCAGGAGAGGATCCAGAGGGAGAGGGAGGAGCTGCGGCGGCAGCACGAGCAGCTGCGCTACGAGCAGGAGCGCAGATCCGCCATGAGGAGGCCCTATGATCCTGACAGCAGGTGAGGAGCAGGGCAGGGGGCTCCAGACTCCTCAGCCACATCCCCTGGGGACCCCTCTGGATAAAGCACTCATGGGGGCTCCAAACTCCTCAGCCACATCCCCTGGGGAGCCCTCTGGATAAAACACTCATGGGGGCTCACACCTGAAAGACTCTGTAGTTGCTGCTTTTAACACTAATAACAATTTGAAGAAGAGCAAATACCGTGCGTGTCCACTTGTAAGCCCTGTTTGGGTCTACTCTTCTGTCCCAAAGAGGGATGAACAAGAGTGGTAACAACCTAGAGCTGTTACTTCTTTGAGTAATAGAGTAGAATAGTAATAGTAGAGTAATGGAGTTGTAATAATAGAGGAGGAGTAGTAGTAGTAGAGTAGCAATAATAGAGTAATGGAGTTGTAATAATAGAGGAGGAGGAG